ATCTTCTAGTAACACTGCAACTCTTTAATGAAAGTGAACTAGAGTGAATTGGAAAGACTTGGATGGAACCTATTTCTGCATAACTATCGTCCAATAGCAATTACCTGAGCAATTCATGCAGATAGAGTGCTTTTATTTACATCACTAATAAAGGGAATTTCATGTGTTATATTAAAATTATATCATAGTAAGTATAATAACTTTATACATTTCTGAGTGCATAAAAGTTAAATATATATATATGACTTCCAAAATGCTTGCTCTCACATAGAATAACTTGATAATATATTTACAACACCTTTGACTTATTAAAATATGTGGGTACAGTATGGTGGAATTTCTAATTATTTTATTGTCTGAAATTTGTAATCTTTAATATGTGCTTTATACTCTTCATAAAAGTATTTATAATAAAAAAGTGTGATCAGATGTAATCTTATTAAAAAAAAAAGGCTATTGTAACAGCCAAAGCAATAGGTTAAATGCTTATATTGATTTTATTTTCAATAATTTTGGAAAAGTCACTAAAATTATTGTACCAGGGACCAGCACTGTGTCATGGAGAGTAAAGCTGCCACCCGAAGTGCAGGCATCCCATATGGGCACCATTTCGAATCTTGGCTGCTCCACTTCTGATCCAGCTCTCTGCTATGGCCTGGAAAAGCAGTAGAAGATGGCCCACGACCTTGGTCCCCTGCATGGTATGAAGACCAGGAAGAAGCTCCTGGCTCCTGGCTTCAGATTGGTGCAGCTCACGTCATCGCAGCCATTTGAGGAGTGAATCAGTGGATGGAAGACCTCTCTCTCTCTGCCTCTCTGTAACTTTGCCTTTCAAATAAATAAATAATCTTTAAAAATTATTATATCAGTAGCTATTATATATTTACATTAGTTCTTAGTTGTACAGTTATTGAAGCATCACGATGAATTCAATAGAAAGTGCTCCTCATAGATTTCCCCTATTTCTTCCTTACTCATGCATTCATTTCTACGATAGAGCTCAATTACAAGATGAAGAAACTTTAAGGACAAGTCCCAAGTATCCATATTTTTATTTTCCAGAAACAAACACATTTTGAGTAAATAAAAAGGACAATTAAGAGCATTTTAATGAGTTAATGAGTATTTGGAATCAATATTTTTAAAAAAAATTTCAAAATTTATTTAAAAGGAAAAGAACAAGAGAAAGAGCTCTCATTCAGTGATTCACTGCTGGGGGCAGATGGGACAGTGCCAGGAGTTGGGATCTTAATCCAGATTTCCTACTTGGGGAACAAGAATCCAACTAATTGTTATAACACAGCTGCCTCCCAGCATCCATATTAGCAAGAAACCAGAGTAAGGAACCAAAAGCAGAAGTAAAATCCACACGTGGAGTTCCTAACTAGTATCTTGACCACAGCCAAACACCCGCCCCTTCAAAAAAATTTTATGCTATTTTTCAATTCTTATGAAAAAGACTGTATTGGGGTTTTCACACCAATTATATTGAAGCTACAAACTACATCTAGAAAAATTAACGGCTTTCATTAAACTTTTTATCAGTTCATGAATGAGTCGTCATTGAATTTTTCTTAGCAATGCACTATAATTTTCAAATGTCTTGGATGTCTTCCATCAAACTTTATCCTACATGTACTTGATTATTGATTGTATTGTAAACTGAATATTTTAATTTTAATTTTATGTTTTTCCCCCTCTGGCAGGAAGAAATAAAGTAAATATTAGTTACTGAATTTTTTCTTGAAAACTTGGACAGTTCACCAAATACATTGACAGATTTTCATAAACATTCTTGAAAGTTTCTTTGCAAACTATGTTGCTATTAGTAAACATAGTGTTGTTTCTGTCTTTTCAATTTTTTGGTGATGGTTTTTTTCTTTATTTCTGTGGCCAGGCTTTCCTGGGGTAACATTAAAAAAAAGTGCTGCAATCCTGCATTTAAAAATTGCAAATACTTTCCATTAAATATGGTGTAGGTTATAGGTCTCTAGACATTTGATAAAGGACTGTTACTCCAAACACATAAAAATTAAAATTCAATTATGAGAAAATGAATAGTGTGACCTAAAATGTGCAAATAACCTGAACAATCACTTTTGTAATTAACATTACATAAATGACAAATAGATACAATATGTGCTCTCAGGAAAATGGAAAATAAAATATAAGATGCGATTACATGGCAGTTAGAATAACTAGAATCCACAACACTAGCATCAGTGTCATTGGTATTGGGAACTCTCATTGATTGGTATTGAAAATGCAGAATGCTAAATATATTGTGGAAGACAATAAGGCAGTTTCTTAGAAACTGAACACACTCTTACTGTATACTATAGTCATTGTGCTCCTTGAGATTCAGACAAATGAATATCTGCATGATATGAATGTTCACATAAAAAACCATATACAGCTGTCTACTGCAGTTTTATTCAATGTTAACAAAACAAAAATGTCTTTCATCAGGTGAATGGATACATAAACTGGATATATCCCTATAATGTAATTTTACTCAGCATTAAAAAGAAATGAGGTTTGGGCATTCTGGCATCAGAGAATATACTGCCACTTTAGACTCTTGCATTCTTGTTGGGAGTGCTTGTTTGAGACATAGCTATACTGTGCTTCAAATCCAGCTTCCTACTAATGCACATCATTGGAGGCAGAAGATGATGGTTCAAGTGTTCGGGACCCCACCAGCTACCCAGAAGCAGAGTTAGACAGTGAGAGAGAGAGAGAGAGAGAGAGAGAGAGAGAAAGGTCTTCCTTTTCCGTTGGTTCACCCCCCGAAGTGGCCACTACGGCCGGCACGCTGTGGCTGGCGCTGTGCTGATCTGAAGCCAGGAGCCAGGTGCTTCCTCCTGGTCTCCCATGCCGGTGCATGGCCCAGAAACTTGGGCCATCCTCTTCTTCACTCCCGGGCCACAGCAGAGAGATGGACTGGAAGAGGAGCAACCAGGACAGAACAGGCACCCTAACTGGGACTAGAACCCTGGGGTGCCAGCGCTGCAGGTGGAGGATTAGCCTAGTGAGCTGAGGCGCTGTCCACTATGACTCCTTTCTGAGTCCTGGCTATTACAGATATTTGCAGAGGGAATCAGCAGATCAAAGCGCCCCCGCCCCCCCCACACACATAAATAAGTAGACATTTAAAAAAAAAAAAAAGAAATGAGCTATCAACCATGAAAAGACATAGAAAAAACAGCAGATATGACCACATAAAATAAACCTATCTGAACAATGCTTTGTGTATTATGTGACTTTAATTTTATGGCATTCTGAAAAGGTAAAACTATTGATACATTAAAATTAAGAAAATTAGATCTTCCCAGAGATTAAAGGATGGGAGTCATAGAAGTAGAGAACAAAAGATTTTTAGGGCAGTGAAACTACTCTGTATGATTCTGTAATTTATTTATCCAAACTCAAAATATAAAACACCAAGAGTGAATGCAAATGGAAACCATGGACTTCGGGTGATAATGATGTAGTAATGTGCATTCATTGATTATAACTAATGAATCACTGTAGTGGAGGATATAAAAAAATAGGTGAGTCAGCAAGTCTTGCAGGACAAGAGTTACAAGAGCACTCTTAATTTTTCACTTAATTTCGCTGTAAAGTAAATTTGCCTTAAAAATCAAAGTCATGCTTTTTACAAATCCATCTAATTTTAACTTTTCTTGAAGGTTTTTAAAATGGTATTTTTGGTAAATATTAGCTTTTATTAAATATCTTACTATTTCACTGGCATTTTACTTTATGACCTGATGTGTTTATGAGCAGATACCTTAAATATGTAAGAGTATTAATTATGACCTTATACGTTACAGAAATATCTCCCAGCCTAAAATACTTTCTATATTAGTTCATGAGACTTTTCATAGTGAATATTTTCCTTATATGATGGGAATTTTTACGTGAGGAATTACTTCAAATAATTGGGAGAGAGAGAAGAAACTTTTGGTTTTCCTTTTATTCTATGTTCCCAAACCATGACCCATAGAAACCACAAGCAAAGAATTTTATTTTAGACACCAAATTTAGCGAGAGGTGTTAAGTTTGCAGGCATTTGAGGAGGACACTTAAATTGGAGCACATTTTAAATAGATGAAGTCATCTATGTAACAAGGGTTGCTGCTCTAGGGCAAAATGCATAATGTCAATTTTCAAATTCTTCAGTATCATGGGATTTTGAGCTACAGGCTTGAAATGTACAATTCTTGTCAGAAGGCCCTAAACTCATAAGAAGGGAGACATTTGATGGATTTTTTTTCCAGCCCTTTTCATTTCCAGAGCAGGTAATTATATAAATTTGTGACAATCACTGTGGTGCTTTAGGGATGAAAGCCTAGGCACAACTAGAATATTTAAGCATCATGTTACTATCATAAAGAAGGCTGGCACTGCTTTCAGGTAAAAAATCTTCTCATTAAAGAATTAAAATTGTGAAACCAGATCAGCAGTGGCTTGACTTGAATTAAATTTATTTCATTTGCTTTGCTTATGTTTCATAAATGGAATTAGGCATACTTAATTATGAACATGACATTTTGTCCCATTTGTCTGGTTCAAATTCTGTGTTCATTGTTTTGTAGCTTGAATCATAGATAGTTATTTCTCTACAGCTGAATCCCCAAGTATTTATAACAGATTTATTAATAATACTTTCCTCAAAGATATGCTGTTAAAATAAATTATTTAAATTATATAAGATTCTTGGAACAGGGTTCAACCTAATAAATATTCAAAAATTAGCTATTGTTAATATTATTTTATTGCTGGTTGTTAAAAATATAAGATAATATTAAATTTTATCACTTATTTTGAAAGATAGCAATTTATTTTTTAAAATACAAGGTATATAAATTATAGTATCTCTCATACGCTTTCTAAGTAACCAGGCCATTGATTGTATTTGGTGCAGTGGTTAACACCTTACTTGAAAAGCCTGTAGAATGTCTGGGTTCAAATCCCAGCTCTACTTCCGATTCCAGCTTAGTGCCCATACATACCATGGAAAGCTTCAGATTCAATTAATTGGATTCCTGTGATGACAAGTTTATGGCTTCAACTTGGCCCAGCCCCAATTTATACAGGCCTTTGGGGAATAAAGCAACAGGTGGGTGATCTTTCATTCTCTGTCTCTGTGTCTTTCTGTGTATCTCTCTGTGTTCCTCCAAATAAATTAAATAATTCATAAAAATTTTAATGAATAAATAGATGAAATTCATAGAAATTGATATCTCCAGTACAATTAGAGGGAAATTTACTTAAATGAAACCACTTAAGAACATCATTTGCTAGATGACTGTACAACATATCAAAACTTATGGGATACAGCAAAACAAATGTTAAGAAGGAAGCTTATTGCAATTAGTACCTACATCAAGAAATTGGAAAGAGATTAAATAAATGAGCTATTTATGCATCTCAAGGACCTAGAAGAACAACAAACCAAACCCAAAGTTAGTAGATGAAAAGAAATAATTTAGATTAGAGAAAAAATAATCAAAATTGAAGCAAAAGTGTACAAAAGACCAGTGAAATGAAGAACTATTTTTTAAATAAAATTGACACACCATTAGCCCAACTAATCAACAAAAAAGAACCAGATCAATAAAATAAGAAGTGAAAAAGTGAAAGTTACAAATTACACCACAGAAATAAACATAACCATCAGAAATTAATACGAACAGATATATGCCAAAAGATTGGAAAATCTAGAAAAAATGGATAGATTCCTGGACACATACAATGTACCTAAAATGAATCAAGAAGACACAAAACCTAAACAGATCAATAACCAAGATGGGAATTGAATCAATAATAAAGACCCTCCTAACAAAGAACAGCCCAGAACCAGGTGGCCTCACTGTTGAATTCAACAGCCTTTAAAAAATAACTAATTACAAGTTTTTCAAACTATTCAAAACAATTGAAAGGAAGGAAAGCTTCTATGAGCCCAGCATCATGTTAATTCCAAAACCAGAAAAAAGATACAACAAAGAGAGAACTATAGACCAATATCACTGATGAACATAGATGCAAAAATCTTCAACAAAATACTAACTAATTGAATTCAACAATATATTGGAAAGATAATTCACCCAGATCAAGCAGGATTTATCCCTGGTGTGGAGAAATGGTTCAATATATGCAGTGTAATCAATGTGATACATCATGTTGACAAATTGAAGAATGAAAACCATATGACTATCTCAATAATTGCATAGAAATCATTTGATAAAATATAGCATCTTTCCATAATAAAAAAATTAAGCATGTTTTGGGTATAGAAGAAACATTCCTCAATACAATCAAGGCATAATATGACAAACCCATTTTGAATGGAGAAAACTTTGAAGTATTTTCACTAAGATCCAGAGCCAGACAAAGATGTCTACTTTAACCACTGCTATTCAATATAATTCTGGAAGTTTTGAGCACATATTTTAGGGGAAAAATATAAAAGGAATATAAACTGGAAAGGAGGAAGTCAAATCATCCCTGTTTAAAGATAACATGTATGTATATATAGGGAAACCAAAGAACTCCACCAAGATCATGGGAATTCGTACGAGACTTTGGTACGTTTGTAGGATAAAAAATCAACACACAAAAATCAACAGCCTTTGTATACACAGACAATGCTATGGTTGAGAAAGAACTTGTTAAGTCAGTATCATTCACAATAGCTACAAAAATTTAAATACCTTGGAATAAGTTAAACCAAGGAGAAAGATCTCTACAATGAAATTACAAAACATTAAAGAAAGAAATAGAAGAAGACACAAAAAAGATGGAAAAATCTTCCATGTTCATGGACTGGAAGAATTAATATCATCAAAATGTACATACCACACAAAGCAATTTACAGATTTAATGTAATCCAAATGAAAATACCAATGACATTCTTCAGATCTAGAAAACAATATGATAAAATTCCCATGGAAACACAAGAGACCCTAGAAAGTTAAAGCAATCTTAAACAACAGAAATAAAGAAGGAAGCATCACAATACAAGATATCAAGACATACTACAGGGAAGTTATCACCAAAACAGCCTGGTACTGGCACAAAAATAGACACGTAGATCAATGGAACAGAATAGAAAACCAAGACATTAATCCATGCAGCTACAACCAATTAATCATTGACAAACAAGATGAAATCCATTCCTGGAAAAAGGAGTCTATTCAACAAATGGTGCTGGGAAAACTGGATCTTCATGAGCAGAAGTATGAAACAAGACCCCTAACTTATACCTTCCACAAAAGTCAACTCAAAATGGATCAATGATATATGACCTGATCCCATCCAAATATTAGAGCAGAACATTGGGGAAACTGTAAGATATTGGCATAGACAAAGACTCCTTTGAAAAGACCCCAGAAGCACAAGTGCTTTTTAAAGATCATAAAAAATGAAAGCAACATAAAATATTTTAAAATAAATTGAAAGAACTTGCAAAAAAAGATAATAGACAGCAGTAGTTAACATGTGTAAAGTAATGTTTTTAAAATATTATCAAATCAAGACATTGGGCATTTGCATAATCTTGTATGTTTCTCATACACCTTTTTAATCTTTCTCTCCCACACATCAGGACCCAATTTGCTTTGAATTTACATGAGTCAAATCACACCTTATGATTTTTCTTCTGTTTTTACTGTTGATGGAGGTGATCTGCTTCTTACACTCAATATCATTATTTTTATTTGTTTATATTTTTTGAAAGTTGAGATGAGAATGTGATCAAGGGTAAAAGTGAGAGAGAGAGAGAGAGAGAGAGAGAGAGAGAGAGAAACAGAGACAGAAAGAAATTATTTGCTGATTCACTCCCCAAATGACCTCAGCAATTCAGACTGGGCCAGGCTGAAACCAGAAACCTGAACTCAATCTGAGTCTCCCATGTGGGTTGCAGGACCCAAAAATTCAAGCCATCACCTACTGCATCCCAGGATGTGCATCAGTAGGAATCATGATTGGAAAGGAAGAAGGGAGATAAACCCAGACTCTGACATATGGGAAGCCAGTATTCCAAGAAATATTTGAACATATGCATTAAATACTTATATCATCATCACAACTATTTTATAATTCATACATTCACTGTGGGTATGAATGATACGTTTCTTTTAGTCACAGAATGTATATACATCACATATGTACATCACAATTTGCTAATATTGTAGAATTACCTTGAATTACCATTAGCTGTACATAAGATTCCCTTATTACCCAATTGTTAAATTATTCATTTATATTTCATTTTATTTTAGAGGAAATAACGAGAGAGACAGAGAGACAGATGGAGAGAGGTCTTCTCTTATATGGTTCATTTTCTAAATGCTCACCAAGAGTCTTGGATGTGTCCTGTGAGGCTGGAGCCCATCTCTATATTCTATGTGGGTGGCAAGACCACAAGTGTTTGATCCATAATTTATCTATTGCCTCCCACAATGCACATTAACAGAAGTCAAAAACAGAGTAACTTGACTGAATGAGGCACTCCGATATGGGATGCAGGTGTACCAAATGCCCATAACCCCCTATTATACTTGATAACTGTAGGATCTAGGGAGATGTCACCTCTGTATTCCATTCATGAGTAACTTCTTTCTTCTACAATTTCCTTATTAACTGAACTATGGGTTTATCAATTCTACTGATCCATTTAAAGAAAAAGATTTGAGTATATTTTATTTTCTCTATTGACTTTCTTTTTTACTTCATTGAATGATTATCTCATCTTTATCTCCATCACTTTATTTCTTCAATTTTGATGAATTTTATTTATATTCTACATTTCTTTGTAGTAAATTGAGGTCATGGAAAATCAATTTTCCCCTATATGTAGTATTTACTGCCATAGTTTCACACTTTACCATTTTTAGTGGCATTTTACACATTTTATTTATTTATTTGTTTGTTTTTAGAAATCTGTTATTTAATGAGTACAAATTTCATAAGTAACATCTTTAGGAATATAGTGATTCTTCCCACTATACCCACCTTCCCACCCCTACTCCAACTATGCTTCCTCCTTCCTCTCCCATTCCAAGTTCCATTCTCCATCAAGATTCATTTTCAATACTATTAAGTAGAACAAAAAATGCTAAAAAGGATAAAGTATTAATTTGTTCATCAACATTCAGGAAAGGGCTGATCAAGTCACTGTTTCTCATAGTGCCCATTTCTCTTTAACAGGTTTCCTTTTTGGTGCTCGGTTAGCTGTCACCGATCAGGGAGCACATACGCTATTTTTCCCTTTGGGACTGGCTTATTTCACTCAACATGATGTTTTTCAAATTTAATTAACATACAATTATTCTTAGGTGTTTAAATTTAATTGAAAAGTAATCCCTGTTAAATATAAGAGTGGGAATAAGAGAGGGAGGAGATGTACAATTTGGGAAATGCTCAATCTGATTTGCCCCAAATGGTAGAGTTAGAAACGTGCTAGGGGATGCCAATTCAATCTCACCAAAGTGGCATGTACCAATGCCATCTCACTAGTCAAAGTGATCAATTTCAGTTCACAATTGATCATAATGATAAGATTAAGAGTCAAAGGGATCACATAAACAAGATTAGTGTTGCTAATACTAACTAATGGAATTAAAAAGGAGAGAATGATCCAACATGGGAAGCGGGATACACAGCAGACTCATAGAATGGCAGATGTCCTGAACAGCACTCTGGCCTCAGAATCAGCCCTTAAGGCATTCGGATATGGCTGAAGAGCCCATGAGAGTATTTTAGGCATGGAAAGCCAAGACACTTTGGAAAAAGAAAAAAAAAAAAAAGGCCTAAATGGAAGATCTCTGCGAGTGATATCCCAGTGGAAAGAATGGGGCCATAAAAGAAGGAGGTACCTTTCTCTGAAGGGAGGAGAGAACTTCCACTTTGACTATGACCTTGTCTAAATAAGATAAAAGTCTGCAAACTCAAAAGTCTTCCATAGCCTTGGCAACTCATGACAAGAGCCTAGGGAGATTATTGAGGCCATAAACAAGAGTGTCAATTTGTTAAGTCAACAACAGGATTCATTGTGCACTACTTACTCCTCATGTAGGATCTCTGTTCTTAATGTGTTGTCCAATGTGAATTAATGCTATAACTAGTACTCAAACAGTACTTCACACTTTGTGTTTCTGTGTGGATGCAAACTGTTGAAATCTTTACTTAGTGTATACTAAATTGATCTTCTGTATATAAAGATAATTGAAAATGAATCTTGATGTGAATGGAATGGGAGAGGGAGCAGGAGATGGGAGGGGTGTGGGTGGGAGGGAGGTTATGGGGGGGGGGAAAGCCACTGTAACCCAAAAGCTGTATTTTGGAAATTTATATTTGTTAAATAAAAGTTAAAAAAACAGATTCATTTTCAATTACCTTCATATACAGATGACCAACTCTATACTAAATAAAGATTTCAACAATTTGTGCACACAAACACACACACAAAATATAAAAAAAACTGAAAACAGTGTTTACAGTTAATTATCATAGTACAACACATTGAGCATAGGGGTTCTGCATGGGGAATAAGTGCACAGTGACTCCTGTTGTTACTTTAACAATTATGGAAGCCTTTTGAATCCACAGTCTCCGTCAGTATTTAGAAAAGGCCAAATGCAAGCTGAAAGTTCTCTCCTCCCTTCAGAGAAAAGTTTACCCTTCTTTGATGGCCCCTTCTTTCCACTGGGGTCTCAATCACAGAGATGATTCATGTAGGACATTATTTTTAAAGAGTGCCTTGGCTTTCCATGCCTGAAATTCTCTCATGGGCTTTCCAGCCAGACCAGAATGCCTTAAAGGCTGATATCGACGTTAGAGTGCTATTTAGAGTGATTGTCTTTCTGTGAGTCTGCTCTGTGAACTGCTTCCCATGTTGGAGCTTTCTCTCCTTTTTAATTCTATATATTGTTATTACCAGTCTCTAGATCTTATTTTTATGATCTCTTTAACACTTAATCCTATCTATATGATCCATTTAACACTTAATATGATCACTGTAACACTTAAGATCGCATTATTACCACCCAGCTTAATGGGATTTGGAGTCCCATGGCAGGTTTATAGCTATACCCTTAGAAGTAAGTCCATAGAAAGTATCCAGAACTATACAGCTCTACAGTTACAAACTTCCCCCTCCCTCTCTTATTCCTATTCTTATATTTTACTGGGTTCTATTTTCAATTCAAATTATATTCATATGATTAATTCTATTTTAGGGAAAGAGTTCAACCAATAGTATTAAGAAGCAAAGAAACAAAATAACAACAACAAAACTGTTCCTCAACAGTCAAGACAATGGTTGTTCTAGTCATTGCTTTTCAAAGTGTCAATTTCACTTTTAGAAGTTTCCTTTCAGGTGCCCTGTTAGTTGTCACAGATCAGCAAGAACATATGGTATTTGTTCCTTTGAGGCTAGCTTATTTCACTAAGTACGATATTTTCCAGATTCATCTATTTTGTTGCAGATTTCGTTTTTTTCTTACTGCTATGTAGTATTCCATAGAGTACATATCCCATAATTTCTTTATCCAGTCATCAGTTGATGGGCATTTGGGTTGTTTCCATGTCCTATCTATTGTGAATTGAGCTTCAATAAACATGGGGATGCAAATAACTCTTTCATTTGCTGATTTAATTGTTGTATGTTGGACTATATTCATATTTCTGAAGTATCTGCAAACTGTCTTCTGTAGTGGTTTTACCAGTTTACATTCCCACCAACAGTATATTATGGTATCTTTTTGCCTACATCCTCTCCAGCATTTGTTCTTTGTTTATTTCAGTATGAAAGCCATTCTAACTGGGGTGAGGTGAAATGTCATCATGGCTTTGATTTGCATTTCCCTGATGGCTAGTAACCCTTAGCATTTTTTCATGTGTTTCTTTGCCATTTTAATTTCCTCTTTTGAAAAATGTCTGTTTAAGTCCTTTGCCCATTTTTAACTGGGTTGTTTGTTTTGTTGTTGTGGAGTTTCTTGATCTCTTTGTAGATCCTGGTTATTAATCCTTTATCCAGTGCATAGCTTGCAAATAATTTCTCCCATTCTGTCGGTTACCTCTTCATTTTCCAGACTGTTTCTTTTGCAGTACAGAATCTTCTCAATTTGATGCAATCCCATTTGTTAATTTGGGCTTTTTATTGCTTGTGCCTTTGGGGTCTTTTCCGGGTCTTTGTGCACTCCTGTGCCAATGTCTTGCTTGGTTTTCCCAATACTTTCTAATAATTTGATGGTATCAGGTCATAGATCTAAGCCTTTAATTCACTTTGAGTGGTTTTTTGTGAAGGTGTAACTGGCGGCCCAGTATTCCCACCACCATTGCTCCAGGGATTGTTTTTAGCTCCTTAGTCAAGTATAAGTTGATTATAGATGCTTAGATTGATTTCTGGCATTCTATGCTGTTCCATTGGTCTATCCATCTGTTTTTGTACCACTACCAGATTGTTTTGATTATAACTATCTTGTAGTATGTCTTGAAATCTCATATTATGATTCCTCCAGCTTTGTTTTTGTTGTATAAAATTGCTTTAGCTATTCAAGGTCTCCTGTGTTTCCAAATAAATTTCAGCATCATTTTTTTTAGAGATGATAAAAATGTCTGGCATTTTCAGTGTTACTGCATTGTTTTTGTAAATTGCTCTCAAAGGAATGGACATTTTGATTATATTGATCCTTCTACTCTGTGAACATGGAAGATTTTGCATTCTTTGTATCTTCTATTTCTTTCTTTAATGTTTTATAATTCTTTGACTTTTTGATTAAATTTATTACAAGATATTTGATTTTTTGTAGCTATTGTGAATGAGATTGATCTTTCTCATCCTTGGCATTGTCTGTATATACAAAGGCTGTAGTCAAAAATACATTATGTATAACTGAAGCCCTTTTAAATTGATTAAAAATGACTCTTCTGCTCAGAACATGGTATGTATTTGTAAATCTTTGCATACTTCAGAAACAGATTTTTTGTTGTTGTTAGATAAACTGTTCTGTACAAGTCAGTTGGGTCAAGTTGGTTCATAATTTATTTAATTCTTGTATATTCTCATGGATATTTGTGTTACTTATCAGTTAGTAAAAGGAGTATTGAAATCCATGACCATAATTGTGGATTTTCATCCTTTACCTTTAACTTATTTGTGGCTTTGCATTTATATTGTTTTCTCTTGACCTTGCTGTATTATCAAATTTGAAAAATCTCTAAATTTTAATTATGAAATTAGAGCATTAACATTTTTTGACAGGCAGAGTTAGACAGTGAGAGAGAGAGAGAGAAAAGTCTTCCTTCCATTGGTTCACCACCCCAAATGACCACTAGGCACACTGCGCCTATCCAAAGCCAGGAGCCAGGTGCTTCCTCCTGATCTCCCACAGGGGTTCAGGGGCCTAGGCACTTGGACCATCCTCCACTGCCTTCCCGGACCACAGCAGAGAACTGGACTGGAAGAGGAGCAACCGGGACAGAACCCGGTGCCCCATCTGGGACTGGAACCCAGGGTACCAGTGCTACAGGCGGAGGATTAGCCTAGTGAGCTGTGGTGCTGGCCAGAACATTAATATTTAATATGGTTGTTTACATTAGATAAATGTACCATCTTCTATTTTCTTGCTAATCATTCAAATGG